AGCCAACGAGTACTCTTACATGTCTGGTACCGTAACCAAGGAATCCGCAAAACGCACACACTTCTTTATCAGTGGAGACTCAACTTGCATAATCGTATCCACATGGTAGCCTAAGCGGGACAAAACATCGCTTTTATCAAAATACTTGAGAGCCAACGAGTACTCTTCCATGTCTGGTACCGTATCCAAGGAATCCGCAAAACTCACACGTGCACATACCAAAAACTGATAAAAACTACACTACCCAAGGATGCTAAGAATGCTTGTAAATACAAGTGGATGGATATCACACTATTGACTGCCTGCGCTCAAGCAATCGGCGATGTGACAGCTACAGCACGCGTGCCTCGTACTCAGAATACAACTCTGATGGAAGCGTATGCAATATTAAAGGTCGGTGAGGACAAGCAAGTTTATAGATGGAAAATATTTTGAATTTGTCAGTTAGATTTGTAAGGGAGTGTGTACACGCGGCGGCACTAATATGGATCGTGTCTCAGCAAGCTGTATGGGCACGTGTGAACGAATTGAAGCGCTTATAATTCGATTCTAAGGTGCAGCGTAGACAATGCACAAACAAGGGTCATCCGGAATTGAGCTGTGCACAAAAAAATCTGTGTAAGTGGATAGTGCCAACCGGTATTTTGGCTGAAGATATTTGTACGACACCCACACTCCTTGTGATTGAAGCCCCTCACACTATCGCATAGGGATAGTATTATTTATTTCAATTCGCATAGCGCCAAGAAAGTCTAATTGCGTGAGTTAAGTCATGCGTATATCTTCGCAAATAACGTAAGTTCAGGATAGCCTAAAGCCAAAACAACCACGCCGTGTACGCCTAGAATCATTGTCTACAGTAAGTATACAGATGCTACTATTCACTGACACGACAGCCGAGTTTTGGAATGCACGTATTGTAGAAATATGGCCTCCGGTCAGTTAAAAATATCAAGATCAAATGAGATAACACATTGGTTTTTATTCCAATATTTCTAAAGTGTTCTAAATTCACTTTGATGGCTCCAATAGCCTGAGTTTGGTATGACTCATTTACTTGGACCTATTTGAGACGATAATAGATGTAGGAACTAAATTTTATAATCTCTGAACTACTACTTACAGGTTTTGGTCTTCCCGCCAATCTCCAAAATCCAATAAGAATTTTTCTTTTTTTAACTTTTCTTCAGATGGAACTTTATTTATATTGGCTAATGTATTAACTTGACTTACGTTCTTATGTCTATCTACAAATTAGACATGTGGTCATGAACACTTAGTACTTCTAGTGAAGATTATTCAATAAAGAACAGCTAGTGGTACGTCCTGTGTGATCGAGTATATTAAGGCTCTTACCAAGAGGCAGTCCCGATCATTCTTACACAAGCTACCACTGCTAAATTCTAACTGACCTACATTGTATTTTAGTTTATATAACATAGTTTAAAACATAGAAATATCCATCGAAGTTTACATATTTTTCAGTTATTTAGTAGTTACCGTATTGTACTGCTTCTAGACTGTCTAACAATTGCTTACTATCCAGCGCCAGGACTGTAAATATTCTATACTACCTCATAGTGGATAGTACTACCCCAAAGTTAGCTACACGCTAGTTACTATACCTAGACTTTATTATTTTTCCTATTCTTGAGCTATTACTATGCCGAAATGAAATTCAAAAGGCAAGGGATCCGCCAGCTCTAAGCCTGCTAAGCCTGTTGAGGTTCCTGAGGTTACTGGGGACGCTGGTCCGTCTGGTACTGAGCCTGCCGTTGAAGCTGTAGTGGAAGCCGTTGAAGCTGTAGAGGAAGCCGTTTCTGAGATTGGTTCTGAGGCTCTGATTTCGTCATTTGATCGTCTTGAGACCTTCCTTGTTGACCTTGGCTAATGTTGTACTTGATTGTGATGTTCGCTCATCGGTTTGACCCATATTAGTAGATTCTTTTTTCATACTCGTTGTCCAAACGTCGGTAGTACAACGACCGGATAATCTAAATCGGTCATTTTGATGCGACATTTCGTATTGTCTTTCAATTGTTATACTTATAACAAAAATATGTTCCAGCTACTGACTAGTTCTTATTCTGTAGCTTTCCCTGTAATTACTAATAAACTAACAACTTCTATGGTAAGTTAAAAATATAGTAAGTATACGCTAGATAACTGTATCTCAATGTTCTCCCTCCTCAGTGAGGGGGACGTTGTTTATTTATTAAAAATTATAAACAGTAATCCTAAGATGAATGACTCTTAAAATGAGTCATTAGTCATAAACTGTAAAACTTGTAATAAACCTAAAATAATCAAATAAATCTAAGTACTTGTATTCTGACCACATGCTTCACAGTTGAATTATCCAACTGTTAAACAAGAGCTATTAGCCATAGTGGCAGCTCTAACACACTTCCGAAATTACTTATACGGACCAGCATTTACGCTGATGTGTGATCAGAAATCTCTTCAATATATGAAAGAGATGAAACCCGACTAACAATTACTGAGTCGCTGGCATGATACAATATCAAAGTTTCATTTTGATATAAAACATCTGCCAGGAATACATAACAATTTACCGGATATGTTATCACGCTTCGTACCGGACTTTAATAAATCCGTACGTGAGTTACTAGCCACTGACTGGAAATGTAATCCCAGATGGTTTAAACTGGCTCAAAAGATATTTCGGCCACATACCATAGATATGTTTGCTGCACATCTTAATGCACAACTATTGAAATACAGGACTTTAAATCATCCTTTGGGAGACGCCTTTCAAATAGGCCTCTCCAAACATAATGCGTGGTCTAATCCACCACGGCAGTTAATTGCCCAGCTATTAAACTATGTTCATATACATAAAGCTACCATCACATTGTGCTGCCCATTACGGAGTAAAGATCCATGGCTCAGTAAATTGATAAGCATGATACAATGCGAGCCAATATATTTAGATAGGAAAGTAGATACTTTCCTATATCAGGGTACCCGAGCCGTCCAGAAGACGCCCTGGAGACATACTATAATATGTCGTATAGGTCCCATTGGAACAACCAAATGGGCCCCCTTCTGAGACCTTCCTTAACAAGGTCAAAGAATCAGAGATTCCACTCTCTACCCAATTGATCGTTTAGCAATTCAAAGGCAACACAGCACTTGAAGTCTGTGCACAAGAATTACAATCCACTCATGGCACTACTGTTAAGAAGCGTCAGTCTCTAGCTAGGGCTCTGTTTAAAAACATAAAGTCCAAGCCCGAGGTCTTTCAAACCCTATTTCTAAAGAAATTAATGAAAGACAATCCTGGAGCGTATACATATATAATGCGACTATTTAATAAGTCAGGTGTATATAACGCACATGAGCGCACTTAAGATACTCACGCGAAAGCAGTACAGGAGTCTGGAAGCACTACAGACTCAGAGACCACGCAAGTAGATTCTTAAATATACATTGACCTCCTGTAGCTCTTGATTATGCCAAACTCCAGTGGGGAATCGTGTGTCATCCAAACGATCAAACCAATCCATGCCTAGCAATACAGCACCTAAAAGACCCTCATCATTAGCCGACACCACGACCAAAAGCTGAACAGCGTTCTCAATCATCTGGTTCAAACCATAGCTGATAGATTTTATATTAATTTGAGCAGCTTCGTTCAACACTGTATGTTTCTTCTGAATTTTGCAAGTATTCTCCTCCTCGAACGCCAAGCGCAATCAAATCGAACATACACGCCTTACAAAATAAATATCGAAACGGGCCATCCGTAACCGTTGATGTTTTAGGCAAACTAGTATGTATAGAACTAGTATGTGTATTTATTTGAAGCTCAGTTGTAAGATAGGACAACAACAAATCCACCTGGGTATGATACCCAGAGTGCCAGACACCAACGATATCACCTCATCCTTGTGCGGTGCCCTCTTCCGGTACGCCGGACTGTTGTTAAGCTTGTTCCACTTTTCATGCCACGGGAATGTTTGGTTGAACTGCTGTCCCTTGTATTGTCGAGGAGGCTTATAAGGATCCACCTTCTTATCCGTCTGAGCAAACTATCATACTAGTTACAATCAGCACTAACAATCGAAATATAAAATATAAAATTCTTTGTACATGGTAAATATTGGTATGTAGCTAACCGATAACTAGGTCTACGTCCTCTCGCTTAATTGTAGTAATGGCTAGCTTTTATTACTTGGTAATTAACCGACTGTCTCGAGATACATGTTCCCAGAGACCTAGTTATCAAAAGACAGGCGCACATCCTATGTTTCTCACTATAAAATATATTCCTCCTCAACCACTATTCCACTATAACCAACCCCAGCCCGTGCGGGTGGTTGGGTCTAGACCTAGTGTCGTAATCCGGTCCTGTTCCTTCGGGACAGGGTCAATCGTCTATCGTCCATCCTAACCGGATGAACATCCGTAAGGCGTAAGGTCCTAAATACATATAAATACAACAATTGTAAAAAAAACAAAAACACAATGAAGGCTTGTTGTTTTTCGTTTGTTTGTAAATTTTGGTTTTTATTGTAGGAGTTGGACTGTTGGAGTCATGATCATGAACAGTCTCAGATTTTACATTTGTTTTTAAAAAAGAAAAAAACAAACAAACAAATTTAGTAGGCTATGTGTATTTATGGCGCCGCTATTGTGTTGTTGTTTTGTTTCTATATATTGTTTTTGTTAAAATAAAAGAAAAATAATAAGAGGACAAAAGGAAGCCGAAGCCCGAAGGCAATTAAATATTGTTTTTAAAAAATAATGTATCAATTACCGATATTGTTTTTATTTTGTTGAAAGAAAACCAGACAGACTTGTTCTAACTTCTGTAAATAAATAAAAGGTTTGTTTTTCGAGAGAGTGTAAATAAATTAAAATATAGAGTGTAAAAGTATTGACGTATGGACTATGGACTATGGTACGGTATGGACAATGGAGTATGGACGATTGTTATAATTGTACATAGTTGTTACTTTTCACTCCATCCACATGATGTATTTACAATTTTACATGGAATTAAGGGGATTTTTAAAATTGGGCCGAAAATTAAGAAGCGTTTCTGATTTAGCTAAATCTGGATTTCTATCTATTCCCATTTTTGTTTTGGCATATTTCAAGATTAAGTTTTCCATTTATGATCTGCGAAGGCGCCAAGGTCGTGGTACAAGTAGAACACCTTCTATGCAGGAGCCTAACACTACATCGGAATCCTCCAAAACGCGAAAATTGGGTCTAAATATGCATAATTAGTACAGTTTCAATGTTGTCACGTACAAATTTTGTCCAAACAATATCGTATATGCATTCTTATAACCGTACTGCAAGCTACAGTTGTTAAAATCGAGAAAAGTGTGTTTACGTCATTTGATGTGCACGATGATTCAACCTACATATTCACCCACAAACAATTGAAATCACATTATTGTGATTTAATTATGGTTATGTATGTATAACGAAGGTCTGAAAATCATAACGAAGCCATATATTTGAATACGCACACTATTTGGATGCATTGATTGACATGCTTGCACGTGAATGGTAAGCAAGTAAAACAAGCCCTATATACCACAATAATGAGTTCTGAACTAACAATACTTATATATATTATATATGAGAACCCTTAGAAGTTTCAAGCTGTTATCACGCGACCCGGAAATTCAAGATTTGGCATGTTCGAAAAGTGAACAACCGGGTTCAAAGATATTTGCATCGATACATAACTGCATGAACCAATAGAGCTAGCAACCGATCAAAAATATTTTGAAACGTTTCTAAAAAAAAAGTCTAGAAAAATATATTGGGATTATATCGAAAACCGGATTTAGTAAATTAGGTTTGGTTCTTTTAAAAATCGACTCCCCGTATATGGATGGGGTGTAAAAAAAATCAATTAAATATTTACACAGGACATTTTTAAACAACACAGGAAGAGAAGCAAGAGACTGAAGTAGTCTGGACTCTGGAGTTTGGACTCTGGAGTTGGACTCTGGAGTTTGGACTCTGGAGTTTGGACTCTGGACCTAACCTCAAATGGTTTCCCGTTAAAACCTTTATAAATCGAATGAATATACGTTTACGTTCAACTTTTATTCCATATACAGCCTTTTCTATGATACTAGGTGCAGTTTTTGAGTCTAAAAAATGAAGTGTGTACTATTTTCAATATACGAACCAGTCCTATATAAATAATTTAGGTGGGCCTTTCTAACCACATTATAACCGTTAAAACGTTAAAAATAAATAAATAAACGTTCACGTTCAACTTATATCTATACCCCTATAACGTAATGAGCTTAGTAGGGAGTCTCTGGACTGAAGTTTGAAGAGTGATTTTAGTTTTTACCAAAGGCCCTCACAGTCTCCCTATTTGTTTTTATAAAAAATAAATCCACTGACTCTAGTCACCAGTGACCAGTCTCCATTCTCCTAGTCTCCGCACAGGTCCACACTCCCGAGTCACGAGTCTCACAGTCAGACTGCACAGGCTGCATGCAGAGCTCAATACGTTACGATATGTACACATATTTGGTTAGCGTAAAGTCGAATTTTTATAATGAATAAACGATCGTTTTTAGGAGTCCAATATGGTGAATGAAATTTAAAAATTACACTTGCTATATGCACCTGTTTCAAACGAAACGGACTGTGTAGCTCGAATTAACTGTCAAAATTGGTGGCTATTTCTGGCGTCAAAATTTAAGAACACAATCGGATCACAGTAAGACCTCATAAATGCACCCAGTATCTTCGAAGATAGATATGGTATATAAAAGTTGAACGTAAATCGATAATTTAATTATTTATATAAACGGTATATCGGATAGCGTTTTTAGCTTAGCAGGCCGAGGAAGACATAATAGAAAAAACGGAATAGTTACGTTTTATAAACTATGTTAGGAGATACAAATATATGTACATACATACATATTTAGAATTAGAAATATTATTATTAGTATGCACAAATTGTCCCGTTATAATATGGTGGTAGAAATTAATTAGAAAAATAATGAACTGACAAGTTGCAAGTAACACGTCTATTTTTTAGGAAAATATGAATGTCTTTATACGGCACTAGTGACAAAAAAATATTCACCACCTCACGCCCAGTTTCCTACCAGTCTCATACTCATACCCTTTCGAGTTTACTTTGCTTTTTTAAAGATGTAATTAGCGTGATTTTAGCCCATTTATTGCACTTGTTGTATTAGTTCTTTGTCGGCCTCAGAGGCGAGGTCGACGTATGTTAGACACGAATAGTGTCAACTGTAAAACTATGGGCAAATCCGAAGCAATAGCTAAGACAGAGAACACCTATATATATGTATCTAACTGCTAACATATGTCAAGCCCTTAAGACCGACATGGACCTAACATAAGTGCAACAAATGGGAGCGCTTTCAGCCGACAGATAACAAACAAACCGGCAGAAAACAAACACATCTCACAAGTGCTTAAAATCACGCTAATTACATTTTAAATTCATCTACCTTTAAGCAAATTAAACCCGAAAAAGTTCAAGTATGAGACGGGTAGGAAATTGAGACTGAGGTGGTTAATAGTTTTATCGTCACCAGTGCCGTATAAAGACATTTCATTTTTCATATATATGGCATATACATTTAAAAATGAAATAAAAATAAAAATAAATTCCCAATTCTAAAAATAAGTACATATATTTGTATTTCCTCTACTAGAATAATAAACACGTGTATTTAACGTTTTATAAACGTTTTAAATATTAATATGAACCATTCCGTTTTTTCTATTTGTTCGCCTGGAGGCTAGAGGCCGGAGCCAGTGGAGAGCAGTCAGCAGTTCTGTTCAGCACTCAACAGAGTGGTCGGTGGCGGACTAGTGGCAGTCCGCAGTCCGTGTGGAGTAGTAAAGTACACAGCTGCACTCAGTACATTGTAAAGACTATTTTAAAAATAGAGCTAGAGAGCAATTGGTTCGGAATTTAGGATTTTTTTATATTGTTGTTTTTATAAAAAATAATAATCTATTACAGTTATTATTCGATGTTAGGGTTTAAGGGTTTTGAAGTTTTCTTACTTTTTTGAAATTTATAATTATCGAGACATTCTTAATCAATAAGATAAGGCCAGATTCAATCGGAGTACTCTAAGTTCTATTCAAACGCCTATAGTTGCTCGAGAGTACTTGTCTTTCGCCCTCTTCTCAAATTTCCGGACACCCCGAGATTAAAATAAACATTTATTCTACCCCGGCCCGAGATTTTATCGTTGTTCTTTCCAGAAATATACTTCCAGTGGATCAATGGGGCCCTATTGGCCGTAGTGTAGGGCGCAGATTTCAAAAAAGAATGTGAGATAATATTTGAAATAAAATCTCGACTACACTTTCGTGTGAAATATTTTTTTCAATTTTGTTGAGCCATCTATTCTCTATAGCGTTTATACTCTGTATAGTACTGGTAAGTTCTGTACATGACACACACATGATGATCCTAAATAAAAATATACACTCGCAAACGAAATAGCGCCTTCTTTGTATATATATATATATATAAATATCACAAACAGCTGTAGATGCTGCCAATTCTCATGCTATTAGTTACAAAGATAGATTCACTGATGAAGTCTCTTATACCACACGTATAGATTATTATTACCTTGTTTATACTTGAATAGTAAATACACGCTGCTTTCACATTCACAATCATATGCTTCTATTATAACGCAGAATTTCATCACAACTACAACCTCGTGTCAAGCTAAATGAATTGATGTCCGTCAGAGACTATTTCGAGGCCGAAGAGCGTATGTGCCACCCCTGTATTAAAAGCAAACTTAACGGCTGTGTTATTATGGTGTCGTCTGCTACCATAGCAACTGAACCCCTGTCCAGAAGGCAAGCCATTCGATACGAATCACAAGGTCAAACTTTGGATCACAGAGCGATGCTGAGATCTTCATGTGCGCGTATGATGGCAGGTTGTAACTATATTCGTAAGTATCCGCACGAGATTTATAGCTTTTCTCGAACCAGCTTTGCTTTGCGTGCCGAAGCCCAGGACGTGTGCAAGATGCTAGGTACTCCCTATCGACCCTTTGAGGACTCGCTCCCATTGCCTCGCGCATTTGCCAGCTATGAAGAGAGTGTTGTGGGTGCGATCGGCGAGGATACCTTCGAGGATGAGTATATTGAGGAAACAATAGATATATTCGGCCAAGATAATAAGTTTGATTCTGAGTTCTACAACGAAGATTTGGATTTGTTCGATGTTTATGATGGAGACGCACATGCCTACGAGTGTCTAACCGAGTATACTGAAGGAAGTGGTGTGAAGAGTGCCATGAGAACCGAAGCTGTAAAAGATGATTGCGATCCAACTGTTCTCATTAAAGCCGCAACCGTATTAGATACGGTACTATATCCGAAGGATGGGTCGAAGACTGACGCGGACTGTTTTGTGCTGGAATCACAGGCCTTCCCACACGTGTACGGCGACGTGTTTTCAGCCAAGTATGGCAGTGATACGAATGAAGCACATGGGAAGTGCCAATGGAATATTGACATTATCGACAGCGACTCGGATAGCGATGTAAGCGAAGAAGATGACGATACACCGTCGGACGATGATATGAGCTCGGCTGGCGATATGGTTGCCAAAGGTGACGTTCATGACATTGCGGATGATGTACGTGATATGTCTCGTAAAATTATCAGTGGCCATGCAGGTCTGTACGAGGTGCACAGGAAGATGGGCAGTGTCACGAAGTTACGCGCATAGACGGCCGGAGTCCAATTCATTTACGTACACACACACACACACACAACAAACACACACACATATAGCAAGTATGTATGTGGAAACATTTATCAACTGCTGTATACGATTTGATCGATCTCAATCAGTTTTTAGGTCCTAAAAACAAAAGGAATACCCAGGGGCCGCCATAGCTGAGTGTGTGCGCGCTCTGGTGGGTCCAATAGGTCTTATAAATATTAGTAATCACTTACAACCGAATCATTAGCACGTGTACGGAATAAATGTTTAGGAATGCAGGAAAAAGCGATCCAGTTTTACTTGTTGCCTTTGTGTTTGGTACCGTCTATTCTAATCGAGTTCAGGACCTCATCGATGAGTAGGCTTTAAATAGGGTTTACAAACCTTAAACCCAAAAACATAAATCCAGACATCAATACGCCAAGTACTTGCACGCAAAGTCGATAATTTCACAGCTTCAACTTCATAGATTCGCGACTAGCTCCACTAAGGAGACTACAAACGTCCGAATAAAACTACGATCATCACTTATTATTTGTAAGTTTGAATCATTGGTTTGTATGTAGCTGAGAAACCAAGCAAGCGTACTTGTTACGTTGTGAATTGTGCTAATATTTAAGTCTAGCATATTTGCTACCTACTTGAACACCCTACACGTGGGAAATATTTCCATGTTGGTAAGCTCAGGAATATAGTCAGCTTTGACCAAGTCGGAGGAATCAACACAGTCAACTATGCCCTCTCATTCTCTACAACAAATAAGTGCCAACTCACACATATGCAGCTTAATACAAGTAGGTATGTTTACTTGCATGTGCCTGAAAAGACGCACAAATTGAAACATAATATAAAAATAGACAGGATAAGACTAGGATACAAGGCGAGTATGAGGTGATGTTTAAGTCTCTGTCTCTGTGCACGACTCATTGGTACGTTTCTAGATGCAGTCCCTATAGGGGGCCTACATAGTTCGATGGGAAGATACCTTCGCGACCATCGGGTGTAGCACCAAACATCCAGTTTTCATCGAGCTCCTCTTTGAGATCGATCACATCTCCAGCCTTTAAGCGCAACTCTTCACTATTCTCAGGCTCAAAGTCGTACAAGGCGCGGACCTGTGCGAGATATAGGGAGAAGGTATGTGTTTGCTTGTTTGCGGGTGTAATAGCACGGAAGCTATCCTCTAGTCTCCAGTCCTGCCCTGATTATCTCAAAAAATGACAGTGTAAACACCCAAGGCTCCCAGACGAACACGACGGATATGCAAATGTTATAATATATCCGTTTGGATGAGGTAAACTTAAATCTAAATTCACGGCGGCACAAATAAAAACAAAACGCCCGAGATATACGTTTATGTCTATATTCCTTGTGGCCACCGCCACCAATGGGAGTATGAAGTCTACGTGACTATCAATAGCGGGGTGGTAACAGGCAGATACTTCGAACACACTGAAATGAACACCCATGAAATACCAGGTGTGACTCGACAAAGAATCCCACCTCAAAACGTGGAATAAATATACATATAAATATCCTTGGGTATGTTGCAACCTATAGAGGTCGTATCCCGAATACATAATCGTTCCATATGTATATATAATATACATATAAATAAATAAATATATACTAATACATATACATAAAAATATACACACACACGCACACACACACACACAAACATATATATATATATATAAATATATATATATACATAGTATACATACATATACATAATATATAGCATACATATAGTATATCTCTGGGTATATTGCAACCTACAGAGATTCTATATTTTTAATGACATTTTTACGTGTACGGACTGAAACATCAAACTGTATATTTCAACATATGATTGCTAACCTAAGAGCCGCAAAGCGTAAGCAAATGCTCACATACCTTGCGACCACCAGAAGGAGGGGCCTGTGTCTGAGGGGGAGGCTGGACAGCCGCAGGTGGGTACATGCCACCTTGTGCAGGTTGTTGGTGTGGTTGTGGAGAAGGGTTCTGTTGTGCCATACCCATGCCTGGGGATGCACCCATATCGGGCGAAGCTTCTCTCGGTACGTTGGTGGGCACATACGGCTGCGAAGGCTGGAACATGGAGATCGAGGGCCACTCGCCTGTATATAGATAAAAGTAAACGGATGTGTGTGAGGTTACGTGTGCTAATAGTAGTAGTAGTAGTAGTAGAAGTGATAGTGATAGTGACAGTGATAGTGATAGTTGGTTTATATACATATATATATATATATACACATACATACATATATATGTGTGTGTACGCGTGCGTGTTGTATGTACATGTGTTGTTGTCCATGGAGAGCTCAACCTCTCTCTGCCTGTATAAAAAGCGCGGTGCATGGATTCTCAAACAACAATAACTGAATGGAAGAAAGTTAAATCCAATCATCCGGATACAAACGAACTACCACATACACACATAGGTACATAGAGCACACGCTCACTAACCAAAGACAGCATTGTATAAAAGAGACTGGCCAAAAACACTACACATACCTACCTTGCTGTACACCGTGCTAACTTCTGGATTGTTTGACTTCGGAGGATGCACCCGTATGTCTGCGATCACAGCGATTCGGCGCAGAACCACACAAACGTAAACATGTACACTTGACACCCACTTAAAAGACCCCCCCCCCACCAAAACCCATACACAGGCGCAAGCCATGCACACGAGGACTTAACACGTACACATAGACTCGCCTCCCTCTAAAATCTCACTGACGAGTTCATTCTATACGATACAGCGCAGTACCACACACACACGTACACACACACGCTCATAGATGTCCATGTTTATACACAACTAAAGCCAGCACACACACACACACACACAGACCTTGTAGAACATCTTCGTATCCCTCCATAATCTCACTGAAGGGGTTCTTCTCCATAATGCGTCTCTGAATGTCCGCAAACGCAGCAATGCACCGCAGGAACACATCGTCTTTCAGCTCTGCGGCGGCGTGAAGTTTCTGTTTGGTCTCGTTGTTGACATCGTCGTACTGACGCTCCTTATCCTGGAGGTTCATCTTTGCCTTTCTTAACCTCTCCTCCTCTTTAGCTTTGCTTGTGCCTTTGCTCTGGTGGCCGGGTGTGTGTGTGGATAAACTCGGTCAGTAGGTGTGGCATAGTCTCCCAGAGGGGTGTTCGGTTAAGGGGTTTAGACAGCTCGAAAGAATCCCCCCCGTGCGTGGTTACGAAATCGATTTCCACATTACTTGCATGTATGCAGGTACACTTGTGACATGATAGATAGCACGTGTAACACACCCACGCGAACTAACACACGATAATACATACGTACACATATATGCCTTCTACACCGAGTATGTATCGAGTTGTCGCCGCCTCCCACATATTCGAGATGTGGATTGAGAATAGGCAGCACTAGAGCACAAACGGTTTCCGACGTATACATACACCATAATATAAGATGGCGCAACACACATACACACTACATATACACATAGATACCATACTTCGAGCTCCTCTTTCTTTCCCTTGTAATAGTTATGTATTGTATAACATGGCGCAACACACATGCACACTACATATACACATTGATACCATACACACTACATATACACATTGATACCATACACACTAAAAATACACTTTGATACCATACCTCGAGCTCCTCTTTCTTCCCCTTGTAATAGTAAAGTATAGTATAAGATGGCGCAACACACATGTACACTACATATACACATAGATACCATCCACACTACATATACACATTGATACCATACATCGAGCTCCTCTTTCTTTCCCTTGAAATAGTTGAGTATAGTATAAGATGGCGCAAACGCATACATACTACATATAC